GGGCACGGGCGCAGTCTCCTCAGGCCCCCACTTGGAGCAGCAGGCTGGCACTGCTGGCCCAGGGCAGTGAGGGGCTTAGCACCCAGGCCAGCAGCTGCGGAGGTTGGGCTGGGTCCTCCAGCACTGCCGGCCCTCATGCACTGCTCTTGAGTTCTCGCGGGGCCTCAGCTGCCTCCCTGCGGGACAGAGCTTGGGACCTGCAGCCCGCCATGTCTGAGCCCCTCCACTCTGCCGTGGGTACCTCCATGGCCCCAGCCTCCCCGACGAGTGCCTCCCCCTGCGTTATGGTGCCCAATCCCATCAGCCATCCAAGGGTTGAGGAGTGCAGGCATAGGGTGCGGGACTGGTGGGCAACTTGGCCTGCAGCCCCGATGCGGGATCCACCAAGTGCAGCCAGCTGGGCCCCTGAGTCTAGTAGGGACTTGGAGAACCTTTATGTCTAGCTAAGGGATTGTAAACACACCAATCAGTACTCTGTGACTAGCTCAAGGTTTGTAAATACACCAATCGGTACTCTGTGTCTAGCTAACCTAGTGGGGACTTGGAGAACTTTTCCATCTAGCACTCTGTGTCTAGCTCAGGTATTGTAAATGCACTAGTCAGCACTCTGTGTCTAGCTCAGGGTTTGTCAATACACCAGTCAGCACTGTGTGTCTAGCTCAGGGTTTGTAAATACACCAATCAGCACCCTGTGTCTAGCTCAAGGTTTGTAAATACACGAATCAGTACTCTGTATCTAGCTAACCTAGTGAAGACTTCGAGGACTTTTCTGTCTAGCACAGTGTCTAGCTCAGGGATAGTAAACGCACCAATCAGCACTCTGTCAAAACGGACCAATCAACACTCTGTAAAATGGAGCAATCAGCTCTCTGTAAAATGGACCAACCAGCAGGATGTGGGTGGGGCCAGATAAGGGAATAAAGGCAGTCTGCCTGAACCAGTCACTGACAACCTGCTGGGGACGGCTTCTTTGTTATTTAACTGTGTACAATAAATCTTGCCACTGTTCCCTCTTTTGGTCCACAGTGGCCTTTATGAGCTGTAACACTCACCATGAGGGTCTGGACCTTCACTCTTGAAGTCAGCGAGACCACGAACCCACCAGAAGGAACACATTCTGGACTACCATGTTTAAGAACTGTAACGCTCACTGGGAGGGTCCGCAGTTTCATTCTTGAAGTCAGTGAGACCAAGAACCCACCAATTCCAGACACAATAGTAGCTATAGCAAGAACAGAGAGACTAGAAGAGAACTCACAGTGGCTTCAAAAATAACAGGCTGAGGCTAAACCAGAACTGTGCTCTATGTAACTATTAGAGTAAGCAAATGTTGCCAGTAGCTGGGCCCAGTAGTCCCAGCTGTTCAGAGGGCTAAAGTAGGATTGCTTAAACGCAGAAGGTGGCCGGGCGCGGTGGCTCAAGCCTGTAATCCCAGCACTTTGGGAGGCCGAGA